ATTTATACAACCAAATTGTTCAAATCAAAACGTAGAAAAGAAGCATTTCAGAAATATATTTTTAGTAATGATTTGGAAATGCCACAACAAAAGGGAACAAACGAATCTCGTTAAATAAAGTAAAATAGCCATAGCTAAGATCATTTAAAAATGTGAAATCAAGTTAACAACATCAGTTAAACCTAAGTTGAAATTAGTATGTGTCTTTTCTGTAAATGTCGGGGAAAATATCTTTAGCTATAAAACGTCTCGACGTGTTGATACATTCAGCAATGATCGGTCTTCTGGATCATTATACTTAAAAATCATTTGTATGCCCTTGTACACAAATTGTTCGGTCTAGTGCATTCAAGATTCCTTATGCAGATTTCCCTGTAGTGGCAATAACAATTTACCTGTAGGACCTATACAGGTCTTTTTGTCGTATATGAGCAGATTTTCCTGTGGTACTTATACAAATTTACGCTTGGTTTCTATAAAGATTTAGTATCAAATCACTTCTGAATTTTATAAAACATCGTTTAAGGATTTTTCTAATCTTTAATAATTTTACATCCGGTATACCAATATAACGTCGTAGCATTCCCAAAGTTTATTCATTGAGTTAATGAGCATACAAGTTTGTCTCAAAATACTACCGCAAAGATCAAAACTATTTATACAATCAAATTCTAGAAACCATAACTCTGAAAGGAAGCTTTTTAGAAATGTATTTTTCAGAAATGATGTGAAAATGACATAACCAGAGAGAACAATCAAAGCTCATGGAAAATAATCGTTAAAAAACATTTGATTAAAATCATACAAATTTGTGAAACCACGGTAAACAACACTTGTAAAAACTGAAGTTAATGTTATTAAATGCCTTTTCTGTATAAAACGCCTTGGCATGTTGATACAGTCAGCAATGATCGGTCTTCTTGAACATTATACTTAAAAATCATTTGTATGTCGTTGTAAAAAAGTTAATCTTTATAGTACATTAAAGATTTAACACAACAAGTCGTTGTTGCCAAAAATACGTATGTAGTAGCTATAAATATTACCTGTGGGACCTATACAGGTGTTATTGTCGTACCTGTGCAGATTTTCCTGCGATATTTACACAAATTTACATTTGGTACCTATAAAGATTTATTTATTTTTTATATTTTACATCCTGTATACCAATATAATGTCGTATCATTTCCAATGTCCATTATATGAGGTAACAGGCGTGCGATTTTGTCTAACAATACTTTCACAAAGCTCAAAAATATTCATACGATCAAATTGTAGAAATCATTACTCAGAAATGATGTGAAAATGTCACAATTAAAGAGAACAAAAGCTCACTAAATATTGTCGTTGAAAAACATATTTAAAATCAATTTGTGAAATCAAAGTTTACAACATCTGTTTAACCTTATTAAAGTTATTAAATGTCTTTTCTGTATATGTCCTGGAAATATGATTAGCCATAAATTCTTATAATTATCATTAATAATCGTAAAACGCCTCGACGTGTCGATACAGTCAGAAATGATCTGTCTTCTGGATCATTATACTTAAAAATCATTTGTATGCCCTTGTAAATAAGTTAACTTTTTAAGTACATTTAAAATTCAACACAAACAATGTTACCCAATATACCTATGCAGATTTTCCTGTAGTAGCTATAGATTTCCCTGTGGTATATACAAAAAATACCTGTGGTATCTATACGGATTTTCCTGCGTTACCTATAGAAATGTACCTTTGGTAAATATAAAGATTTAGTATCAAATCACTTCTGAATTTTTATATAACTTCGTTTCAGGAATTGTTTTAATCGTTTTTGATATTTTACATCCTGAATAACGATATAACGTCGTAGCATTCCCAATGTTCATTCCATGAGTTAATGAATATACCATTTTGTCTCACAATATTTACGCAAAGCTCAAACATATCTATACAATCAAATTGAAGAAATCATTACCCAGAACGGGAGCTTTTCAGAAATATATTTTTCAGAAATGATGTGAAAATGTCACAACTTAAGGGAACAAACAAAGCTCATAAACAAATATCTATAAAAATACGATATTTAAAATCCTATAAATTTGTGAAATCAAAGTAACAACATCTGTCAAACCTATTTAAAGTTATTAAATGCCTTTTTTTGTAATGTCGGGAAAACATCTTAAGCAATAAAACGCCTCGACATGTTTATACATTCAGAAATGATCGGTCTTCTGGATCATTATACTTAAAAAACATTTGTATGCCCTTGTACACAAAATGTTCGTTATAGTCCATTAAAAATTCAACACAACACATCATTTAAAAACAGATAAAACAGATATTCAACGCGGCATTTCGGCATATAAATCATATGGTGTGGCATGCGGTTAACGTACACAATGGCGACAGTCGGGCTCTCATATTTTCCAATCCTGTCTTTACTTGCATTTTGTTTCATTTTTGTTTTTGGTAACGCCTCTCTTGGTAAAATCTCACTGCACGCTATGTAACACAGCGTTTACCGATGTGAGGAAGGCAACCGTTTCTGTACCAAGGCCAGGGAATAGCAAAGTCCTTATAATTGGTAGTTCAAGGCCTATGGTTAACAACACCTGGGTGATCCGATTTCGGTATGAAGAATTCTTGGTGGAATACTGTGTTGGTTGCCTTTGGAATGGTTTGGTTTAGTTTTAATTTGTTTAACGTCCTATTAACATCTAAAGTCATTTAAGGACGTGCCCCCATGTGTGTATGTGTGCCGGGTTCGGCATGGTATTTCATTGAGGTAGTACTGTAATGTCGACATCAGGTCCGTTTTAGTCCAACAACACAAATACACCATTATGCCGTCCCCATCACACAAACATTTATGCTATAAACATAGATACACGTCATTAAATGATATATGCTGTTACATGGATATTAAATCCTATAAACTAAACAAAACACCATTGGATGCAGCAAAACATGATAATCATAATGATAGATCTCGTGACAATTAACAAAGTTAGTGCCGGTTTTGTTCCAAAAAGCATATGCATCTGTTGCCAGTCAATGAAAATTGGACAGTTTTTACCTCGATAAGATGCAGATGAGGTGAGCATTTGTATGCGCATATTGATCCTATGTTGGACGCAAAGTGGGTTTAGATCAGTGTAGTATATATCGTTCAACTTGTCACCTTTAAACGACTATGGAAAAGGGCTATCGAGTCTGTTCAAATGATCCAGTTTCAAAGATCACCGGATTCTCATGTGAAAATCTTAAAGTGATTTCTTATAAACATCAAAGGTATTTAGGGACATTATATTTTAACAGCAGCATGGGTGGATGAAGCGCAATCAAATGTGTTCCAATCGGTTGCCTTCGAAGGTGTGAAATGTACTAAGGCCCTTTCAAGGTCATGAGTGTTAAATCTTTTGATAATAGGCCTGGTTGGTGCTAGGGGTGATGGATTTCAAATGTGTTAAGATTAACGACATTGATAAAAATGTTAGCCCCTGGTGGCAAATAGTATGAAAAAATATCAACGACTTCCTTTTAATTACTAGGAGGCCTCAGGTAATGATATCAAGCACAATGCAGGTTTAAGTATAGGGCTATCAAGTTTGTTTAAACCAGTATGATTCTGGGATTCATTGAAAATAATAACATCGAATACCCGGTGAGCGATACAGACCCATTTGGCCTCTTGTTTTAAACGTCACAGTCCTATTTCCTTTTTAATGACAATTATTCACTCATTTTTAATATGAAATAATGCAAAATGTGTATAGTAAGCTCCGTATAACCACCATATAGTTTAGCGTCCTATCACCACACAGACACAAATACCTTGCATAACGCCCTATCACTTTACAGAAATATCTAAAGGAATTTAGATGTGAATCTTCAACTGTTAAGATAACACTCATCAAAACATTTAAAATAGCACACAGTAAAACAGCAAATAGTGAAATAAAACACCAACATTCCATACAGTTGTGTGATCACACAAGGCTCTTAAATTTTCTTGTGCAATCAGCTTAAAAATGTGTTTAATCTCCTCTTCAAGACAGAGTAAATGTTCATACTGTCGTGTTGGTACGATATTTAAACATAGCTGGATCATATGTCATTTGCGATCATTCGTTGTTTGGATGCCAATTAGTGTGTACTTAAAACTCGTACATGTACTATAGAAAATGTTAGGTCTGTGCAATCTTCTGTGTTGACGTTTTTGTGTCGAAGGGTTTTTAACCCCGAACAAACAAAACAAATCATTGTTGTCCTTGCCAACGGATTTTTATTTGAAATCTCGGCGAGTGCGGTATCTTGTGCTACTTGTTTCTAAACACAGTATCCTCTTCATGCTATATGGTCCTGATGTATTTTACTACATCTTATAGTAAGAGACGACAAATGCCACCCCCTTGCCGAGTCTTCGATGTCTTCTCAGGAGACATTTGAAAAAGATGAACGCAACACACAGAATTGATTGATCAAAATTGATCTGCTGTCCCCTATAATAACACTTATGGTGTATATACTTTTAAGCTTTCTACGAAATGCGTGTGTGTCACAGTCACATTTTATTTTATATTTTACATTTTTTTAGATCATGTCCAATGTGTAGCATATATGAAGACATGACGCGGACAACGCACAACGTGTATCGCTGTCGAGTCCTACAACTATATTTTTAATTCCGTCAATGTGTTACTCATGTTTGGTTGTTGCTGTTTTTATTTGTTTGTTGCTTGGGGTGTTTTTATACGTTAAATTTGCTAACAATTACATTATTCTAGTTGATGATTTTAAGAAGTCTCGCCCTTTTTTCAGGAAAGACGGTGAGAAGGTCGTTGTTGTACCATGTACAAATATTACTGTTGAATATGCCTTGAAGGTTGCCTTAATGTATTTTCTATATTTCTATGAGAAAGCTATTTTTTGTTGAGCATTCTTTCGTTTTGTACAATATGTACATGTATTGGCCAATGTAAAACAATTATCTACTTTTCTTTATAAACAGGAATTGGTATATCGAACGTGGTGACCTGCTTCTTCATGAACATCTACTACATCCTGGTGCTAGCGTGGGCCGCCTACTACCTGGTTTTGAGTTTAACTTCAGTCCTTCCCTGGTCCCACTGTAACAATACGTGGAACACACCGAGGTATGTACCTGTCCTAAGCGAAAAACATCTTTATATGTATTTGCTTTGCTTTGAACACATCACGACGTTTGAAATACACAATGGTGTGAACTTGGCCAGTCTAAAACACATCGAAGAATGTTCGATTCTGTCTGAAACTAACCTTATGTTTTTCTTATATTTGAAGTTTGTTGGTTTCTGTAGGTGTGATAAGGTCAATGCAGGTACTTGATTTTGTTCACGAACAACCTGACCAGAAAGATTGTTAGAACTATCAATCATTTGTTAACTTTCAAATACATGATAATCATTGACCAGCGGTGTTCTGAAAATATTGAAATGGGTCTTATTTGTAAAGTTCTAACGACTACGCACCCGACGCATGGTTTCGTCAGTTTTAATTGATAAAGTATATCATTCATGTTAGTTTAATGTCCTCAACGTAGAGGACAAATAAGAAAACCCATATTTTGCATGCGACACATGCTTCGCATTAATGACTAGCTGTTAATAGGACGTTAAACAAAATAAAACCAAACCAAACGATCAGCATTGCATTAAAAAGAAGGTATATTCATCTCCGATCCTGTACAGTTGATATCCCCCCGAAAAGAATATGTAGAGTATACCAAGCAGAGGCAACTTTAACAGATTTACAACATACTAGTGTCCAAAAAAGTAGTAAATAAATGTGGTCTTAAAATACGGTCAGATTGAGAAGCATCAAGCAAAACAGTAGAACGAATGAAAAAAAATAAAGTACTAAAAGTACGGGATAAATCAGATTCTTGGACTGATTGTAAGAAGATTTATTGATCACGTATAAAATTTAAAAGCAATGTAGTAACCGTGTGTACCCCTGCCTGATGACTAACAACACACTTTAAACACGGGCACCGATAGGATCCAGCTGCCGATAAAAAAAACATTTATTGAGAAAACTTTTATTTATTTAAACCGAGTTTGGGTGCAACCAACCCCCTTGCAATAATTCTTACAGGACCACCAGTTAAGGTTTTACAGTATTGTCAGCTAAGTTGTAGTTCGATAATAAAAAATATCTGAAATAAATATTCTCTGCTGTTGAAGTAAATACCACTATGTTTGGTTTGACCTGGTTACATTTTGTTTTACGCCCTTTGAAAAGACAAAGTCCTTTAAGGACGCGCTTCCATGTGTGTAATGGATGTGTACTGGAGACGGTATGTTGGTGTATTTACTTCCTTGTGATTACGCGAGTCTGATGCACAATTGCAATATGCAACTATGAAATAATAAAAATAATAAGTGTTGCAGTGTACTGTACAAAGTATCACTAAATTCTTTAGATATATTGATTTATCTAAAATAATATAACAATAAAATAAATTCTTCTGACAACGAGACAACTACCGAAGCTGAAAGTAAACAAGCGTGTATGGTCATATCACGTGATGACAGATGTCACACTTGAAACACGGGGACCGAGTGGGTCAGGATCCAGATACCGTTCTCCGATCATTGCGTACAGAAAGTTCAGAAAATAAATAGAAAGTTGTTCATGAGCGACTGTCCTGTGACAAGTCATGCAGGACTGCTTGTCTTGGTTTGTCAGTATTGTCAACCCGGTTATTGTGGAATGATATTGATATGTTGTGCTTTTGGAGTAATATGTAACTGATGAAATGCCTATTCAGTTTTCCGTTGTAATGTGTAATTCGATTGACATATACGGCCCCAGGCCAGACACCTATGTAGGTTCCCACGCAAGACACCACTGTAGGGCCTCAGTCCAGACACCTCTTTATGGCCCAACGCCAGACACGTCTTTAGGGTCCCAAGCCAGACATTTCTGTAGGGCCCCACCCTAGACACCTATGTTGGATCCCACGCCGGACACCTCTACAGGGTCCCACGCGAGACATCTGTGTAGGGTCCTACGCCAGACACCTCTGTAGGGCTCCACGCTAGACACGTATAAAGGGGCACCACCCCAGACACATCTGTAGGGACCCACGCCAAATACCTTTGTAGGGACCCACGCCAGACACCTCTGTAGGTCCCCACGCCAGGCACCTCTGTAGGGACCCATGCCAGCCACCTCTGTAGGGCTCCACGCTAGACACGTATAAAGGGGCACCACCCCAGACACATCTGTAGGGACCCACGCCAAATACCTTTGTAGGGACCCACGCCAGACACCTCTGTAGGGCTCCACGCTAGACACGTATAAAGGGGCACCACCCCAGACACATCTGTAGGGACCCACGCCAAATACCTTTGTAGGGACCCACGCCAGACACCTCTGTAGGCCCCCACGCCAGACACCTCTGTAGGGATACCCCCATGCCAGACCCCTCTGTAGGGACCCATGCCAGACCCCTCTGTAGGGACACACCAATGCCAGACACCTCTGTAGGGACCCATGCCAGCCACCTCTGTAGGGCTCCACGCTAGACACGTATAAAGGGGCACCACCCCAGACACATCTGTAGGGACCCACGCCAAATACCTTTGTAGGGACCCACGCCAGACACCTCTGTAGGTCCCCACGCCAGGCACCTCTGTAGGGACCCATGCCAGACTCCTCTGTAGGGACACACCCATGCCAGAAACCTCTGTAGGGAACACACGCATGCCAGACACCTCTGTAGGGACACAACCATGTCAGACATCTCTGTAGGGACACACCCATGCCAGACACCTCTGTAGGGCACCACGCCAGACACCTTTGTAGGGCTCCACGCCAGACACCTCTGTAGGGCCCCACGCCAGACACCTCTGTAGGGACCCATGCCAGACACCTCTGTAGGGCTCCACGCTAGACACGTATAAAGGGGCACCACCCCAGACACATCTGTAGGGACCCACGCCAAATACCTTTGTAGGGACCCACGCCAGACACCTCTTTAGGGCCCCAAGCCAGAAACTTCTGTAGGGCCCCATCCATGCCAGAGACCTCTGTAGGGCCCCACCCATGCCAGAGACCTCTGTAGGGTCCAATGACAGACACCTCTGTAGGAACACACCCATGCAAGACACCTCTGTAGGGACACACCCATGCCAGACACTTATGTAGGGCCCCACGCCAGACACCTCTGTAGGGTCCCATGCCAGACACCTCTGTAGGGCTCCACGCCAGACACCTCTGTTGGGTTCCACGCCAGACACCTATGTAGGGTCCCACGCCAGACACCTTTGTAGGGCTCCACGCCAGACACCTATGTAGGGCCCCACGCCAGAAACCTCTGTAGGGCTCCACGCCAGACACCTCTGTAGGGCCCCATGCCAGACAGGTTTATATGTCATATAATTTATACACATCAGTAACAGATAGCTTAAGATATAAATTACATGCATTAAATGTATGATGTGTTTATTTCCTTCTCCGTTGTGAGTTATTAATTGAAATCGTTAATATAACAGGTTTACAAATATTTTATATTTTTGACCCGATTTATTGGTGTTATTGCACTTTATCTCGTAGCGTTGATATCATGTTTGTCCACGTGTGCAGCATCAATAACTTCCTACAGTAATACATGTTATAATGTTGAATGATTTCCCTTGCAGGTGCTCCTTTCACCATGTCGACTCAAACAGCAGCATAATAGATAACACCACTTTGATGAATTCCAGTGTTGCCTTTGCAAAACCGGTTGATTCCTCAGTGGAGTTTTGGGAGTAAGGCAGCTTTTTTTAATATTTTAACTTTACATTTTACATTTTAACGCTATTTCAAGGATTATCTGATGGTGAAAATAATTAAAGTAATTTCATTCATAATATATAGTTGCAAACAAGATGGACGTGTTATAATTTCTGTGCACTGCCTGATGAATTTGCAGTTGTCATTATCCCAGCCTCGTCGCCAAATGTGGTAACGACTCTGATGATAGCCGATATATTTCAAAGTAGATTCATAGATGGCAAACACACAATTCCGGAGACCATGCTGGTTATTACATTACTATCTTTTTTAGTAAAGAGTTACTTCCGGTGTTCCGGTTGGGTACATACTAAAGTACTGATTATATAAGATGGACATTACATCATACTTCCTAAGTTTGCAGTAGTGTTGAATTCGAAGTTTGATATTATTGTGGAAATTCCAGTGTGTAAATATACATAGATAAATCTTGCACATGGATTTGGGTCATGTTCTAGTAACGATCATTTACACAATTTGTTTTGCACAAAAATAACTTATTATGCATAAATATGATAATTCTGCGCAGGCGGAAGGTGTTACAACTCTCATCAGGTATAACGGAAGGTGGCGGGATTATCTGGGAACTGGCGTTATCGCTATTTGTGATGTGGGTGATCGTTTACTTCTGTTTGTGGAAGGGGGTCAAGTGGACAGGTAAGGTAAGTGTGTATTCAAAACTGTATGTACTGTATACAGATATCGTTAAAGACAATGTTCGTTTAGTAATTATTACCATTTGGCCTAATTTAGAAAACTCATTCAGAATTTAGTCTTCTAAGTGATTTTGTCGAAATATTACGTGCATAATGTTGGCGGGTTGTTGAAGTGGATTTGAAATGCAATATAGCCCACATGGCATCCATTTTGAAAATTAATTTGGAGATTAAACTCACATTTTACTGAACCAAATTTAATCAAAGCAAATGTGAATGATGCGTGTTTGATCCTGACGCGTTTTTGTGTTTGGTTATAGGATCACAGATGAGTGTTATTTATTATTTGGCTTACTGTATCTTTGACCAAATTTAACAAGCACCTGTGTGTGTGTTACGTGCATCATCTGAGACAGCCATGTTGAAAGTCGATTTGAAATTTTAAATAAATCCTGCTGAAGTAATTTCACTAAATCTTAATGGACACGCTCTTCAGGTTATACTGAAAAATTGGGACTAATTTGTTCTAGTTTGGAATTTCATATAACCGCATGTGACAGCCATTTTGAACATACACTTTTATGTTTTGAAATTTAAACTCACATTTTCTGAAGCGCTTTGATTTCGCTGAAACCTTAACGGAGTAATCATCACGACTCTGGCAAATTATTTTTATGTTGGCGATGATTTGAAATCCAAGATGTCCGCTTTTTTCCCTTTACTAAAACGCGAAGTCTACTTACCATTTTTGCAGAAACTCAGTGAAAACAAATTAGACCTCACCAATTGATATTATTTTTTCCCAAATTGAAATCCCAACATGGTCGCCATTGCCATCATCTTGAAATTTTATTATCAACCATTAATATGATCATATTGATTTTAAAATGGTTGTGAAGTATCACTGTGGTAGTCTGACTTGGCCTTCATTGAAAGTTAGCAGCGTCGTCTCATATGACCTTAACTACTACGTTACCAAGCTAATCAGTCCAATGTTTCCATTGAAACAAATTAAATTGAAAATTATTTTCAATAGATTGTTTACTTCACGGCCACGTTCCCGTACGTCATACTTGCCATACTTCTGGTGCGAGGATTGACACTAGATGGCGCTGTAGACGGTATTGTGTACTACCTAAAGCCGGACATATCAAGACTTGGTGATATACAGGTACCCTCAAACATACTTAGGATATTGTAACATTGACTGGTCAATAATTAGAAATTGGATAATTGCTATTGAAATGATCTTACGTAAACAATCTAAAGCCACGCACTTATTATTGTCATGATAATCGTTATACATTCCAGAGTGTCATTTTTAAGTAGTTAGTTGAAACGTTTATTGTTTTTGTGTATAAGTTGTGTGATGACACATTGTATAACACAAATGCAGAACACAATACAACTCCACCATACACATACAGGGAGGTATAAACCAGGTGGCATAGGACTAGTAGCTAGCGCATGATAAGGCAGCTGATTAATGTAAATGCTAACTGCATTGATTGTATAAATTGTATATCTATGTGATGTAGAGTGCTTTGGGTTGGCTTATTCTAGCTAGATAGGGCGCTATATCAAATGTTGTATATTATTTAGTATTATCATTATAATCTTAACACATATCAATGGTTATGCACTGTACATTTTGTATGGGTAGGTCTGGATGGATGGAGGCACACAGATATTTTTCTCCTATGCCGTTGCTATTGGTATAATGATTACCCTAGGAAGCTACAACAAATTTACGAATAATTTCTACAGGTAATTTTTATTTTATATCGGCATGATCATGTTTTGAATATAAATAATTTATTACAGCGCTTCTTGAAGGAGATTGTTTGTCAAAACAGTCAGAACGCCAGTGACATGTTTGAATGTCATCATTATCATTTCATAACGTAACAACCGCCATTCACTTTTAATCGCCTTAGAATATATGTATTGAGCGCATGCTATTCTGCACGAGGCTATCGTCCTCTAAGGAGTACTTTTGGAATGATAAAATATGTCTCTAACTATCACATTGATTTGGAAAAATGATAAATTTAACATTGCTCTACTGTGTATATTGATTTGGTTATTACGGTTTCAATACCATTTATAAATATTATCATTTACACAATTAGTCTTTACAATGAAATACGATAATTTTTACAACCAATTCTTTTTTTCTCACTTTTGCATCTTTTACACACTTACACGTATTTAGTTTGCGTTTGATGCCTTCCCTTTTAGGAACGTCTATGTTAGCAGTGTTGTTTATCCCTAAATTACTTAAATTGACGATGGGTCGTAAAACAATTCAGAAAACCAATACAAAATAAACAAATCAATTATATGTTGACGTAATTTTTACAGGGACTGTGTGTTTATCTCGTGCGTAAACAGTGGAACGAGCGTTGTAGGAGGGTTCGCCGTCTTCTCCGTACTGGGATTCATGGCCAAACAGCAGAACCTTCCGATAGCTGACGTGGCTGATGCTGGTACATATATCACAGTTGTTAACTACCTGTATATGTATCACAATATCGATACAATACAACGCTTCGTGTCAATTTCATATATTTACCTCGATAGTTATTTGGCAATGTCGATAAATTATTGTGCTTATGAAATTCTAGATGTCCTCGTATATGCATAAACGATAAAGACTTAGTTGCATGAAATTAAATCCAAGTCCATGTCCTTATCCATTTGTCCATCAATCAGGTTTTCCTATAGAATTGGATATTATTATCGCTTATACTGCATAGTGAATATATATATATGTAACAATATTTATTTTATTACATCACAATCTAAATAGTAATGATAACTTGTGTTTACAACCAATTAATTGCCATGTAAGCGTCAGTTTCCGTCGTGCTGTAGTAATACCATCATGCCTAATACACACTCTTCTTTTCAGGCTTTTGTAGAACTTTTAATTTTACATGTTAGGTCCCGGCTTGGCATTTATCACGTATCCTAAGGCCATGACACAGATGCCAATTTCGCCGCTGTGGGCTGTGCTTTTCTTTTTTATGATAATTCTTCTGGGACTTGACAGTCAAGTAGGTCGGAGTGACACCGTCACATAACTGTATGATGTTGATTTTCTCCCACAATAGCTTGCTTTTGTAAATTCAAATCGCGTTAATTTCCGTTGAGCAAGTAAACATTGTGGTCAGAAAATTAAATTCGTATCATGAAAGTTATGGGTTTATCACCGCAGTTAACTTCAGTAGTTACATCGGAGTATATATAGCACGAGACTATATTCTACAATGTATTTTTATTTGATATTTATATTAACTATGTACTCTTCTGAGGTTTAAATCACGTTCAAGTCTCGTTTTGATATCGTGTTACGTTTTTTTTGTAATATTAAACAAATTATGAAAAATTAAAAAAGCAAACAAGCATTTGAAAAAAGGTGTCAAAAAAATAGATGCCTGTTTGTTTATATTTATATTTTTTCAAATAACTAATTTAGCGGCCTTTGTGAAAATATGTATTTCTTGCGCTCCACAAAAGGCCAAAATTACAGGTCTTTTGACAATTAATTGATCACTGAAATCGACATTATGTCGTCATTTTTAATTGTAACAGGTTCATTTTTGCTGAATAACTTTATCCTATTCAATATGATGCAAATTGTATGCATCAAAGAGGACAATTACACATTATTTGGATTTGTTTACTTGTTGAGTTTAACTGAAGCACCTGGGATTTTTTACCTCGAAAAAAAGTGAATATTAACACAAAATAATGGGGGGAAAACGAAGCACACGGACTCCTAGTTTTTGTTGCTGTTCAGAAGAAGAACCACATTTGCCTTTGATCCATTAAATATTAAAAGTTTGATGTTAAAACTTTTTATATCAAGCGTAAAATCTTCAAAAACAATTATGAAAACATGAGTATTTTTTTCATTAAAAACAAGGGGAAGGGGGAACTTGAATCGCTTTTCTCCGTCATAAGAATAAGTTAAAGATTTGTTTTCTTATATAATTTAAAAGAAAATACATTTATTTAATTTTACAAACATTCATAAAAATCTGAGGACACACTTGGAAGATTTTTATCAATTTATTCTGCAAATGGTAAAAAAAAGCCACCAAAAATAGCCTTAAACCACTTTTTATGTTAAATTGGTATCAACATACAGACATATAAATCCTTTTGCATTTTCTACTATGCCATTATTTTTTTCCCCACAAATGCATACCAGATAAAAAGTGTAATAAAGGATTTTTTTACTTCTCAGAAGAGTACATCCTTAAAGTCTGTATATTAGCTCATCTTGTCCAAAGCACCATAATGAGCTACTACAACACCTTGGTGTCCTGCGTCCGTCCGTCAGTCAACAATTTATTCCATTTACTTCCTCTGAACCGCTTATTGGAATTGTATAGGGGCGTGGGCAAATAGAGTTATTTTGCTATATTGCTTGCTTTTTCAAAATTCATATTAAGTAAAAAGCCTCCTTCGTTGTTTGGGATTCCAACTTATACAAATGTAGGGGCTGATGGGCGGGGCGAAAGGGATGATTTTTACTTATTGCTTAAAACGACTTGTTTCGAAAACTGTGAGACGGTTATCAGTCATATTTGGATGAAGGCATTCCTAAGAGGTAAAGATTCAATATTGTACAAACGGAAGGGCTAGCCCAGGGAGGAGTTGAGGGACGATCCAAAAAAGGTCAATTTAGCTATATTGCTTTTAAGTAACTTCCTCTCTAGAGCTGAGAGCTTATTATCAGTCGTATTATTTTGAAGCATTTCCAGGTGGATGGAATTCAGAATTGTACAAATAGCTAAGGCTGACCTACCGGGGGCATAAGGGTCGGGGCAAGGTGTTAGTATTGTCATGTTCCTTTAAGCCACTGGATTATTTTATGAATATCAGCATTATCTGGTTGGAAACCGTTTTAGGTGTGAGTATTTGTAATTGTGCTAATTGAAGGGCTGAGAGGTGGACCCAACATAGTTTATAACTAGGAAATGGTTGAGACCCCACCATTTAACAATGTATATATGTTACCAGAATGACTCCGAAGTCTTCAGCCATCTTTTTTATGACTAAGTCCTAGGTTCAGAATTACAAAGTAGTTGAGATCCCAACCCATGGTATACCCCTCGCCTGTAGAATCGGGGGGATTTCTTTTATGCTTCCTGCTTAGGGAACATACCTGCTATCCACTTTGCACCACATGGGACCTTTATCTGTTCTATATCTCTTTACAACGCTCTGTTTCGGCGATTTCTACGCAAGCTCTCATACAAAACCTAAGCGAGGATATTTTAATATTAATAATGATAATAATTCGAGGTTCTTATATACCGCTTTATCACAACCTAGATTGTAGGTCGTCTCAAAGCGGTTCACAAACCCTTAAAACAAGATAAATCTTTAACACAATGATGTTAGTACTTATTCTATGACATAGTTATGTAATAACTTAGACTGTTCTTTAAAAGTATTAATAAGGACTGACTTAGGTCAGTTCTTATCAATCCGCTGATTTCGAAAATCGTGTAACACACATGATAGTGCTGAAGTTCACACCCACAGTGTAGCAAACCTTGGTTATAACAGCACCGCCAACATAAAAACAAAATGCTTATTATTCGCGTGGGTCAATTTAGATACCCAAACGCGTTTTATGTTACACAACGTTTATGAACATATTTAATATCGATTTTCACAAACTTTACCTTTTACGTTCAGCTTTTGCCATTAGTTTCTTATTTAGTCGAGAAGAAATTGCTTGTGAAACCCTTCCTGTAAACAGAATATCGCTGACGTTTACTCAATTTCCGTGTATTAGGCATTTTATTTTACACTTGTTTTTGTCTTTAAATACATTTTATTTGCATGATTAAAAAAATGTAAAGAAATATTTTCCAAATTTGTATTTTATCATAATTTTTACATTCGATAGTGTAATAAAAGATAATCACTGAATCCTGTACTAATGTTACAAAAATGTACTTTGGATTGAACCACTGGTTTTATTTGTGTTGTAGTTTGTTGGAGTTGAATCCGTCATCACTCCAATTGTTGATTACTTTCCAAAATACCTACAGCGAAGAAGCCGTCGGATGTTGTTCGTGGCGGTCTACTGTGTGGCGTCTTATTTTGTGGGATATTCTATGATTTCTAGGGTAAGTTCGGGACCCTGGCCTTGTTCACCCAGTTAAGATTTAAACGTTCATCTGGTGTCCTTCTGCTAAAAAGACCAAACAATGCAATGGTTTGTATTATATAATGAAAGGTCACCAAATTCGGTGGCGGGTTTTCATGTTTATCCTATTTAGATTTGCAATTTATAAATTAGTAAAAGACACACGGCAAACCAAGTGTCATTCTACAATTTCAAAATTTAGACGCTAGAGGTAGTTAAAGACGATAACTAGTCATCAGTTATAGGGGACTCCATATTACGTCTTAGACATAGTAATGACACATCGTCTCCATTCCATTCCAGGGTGGAATATACATCTTCCAGTTGTTCGACTACTACTCAGCCAGTGGACTCGTGTTATTATGGACATCCTTCTGGGAAACTGTCGCCATTGCTTGGGTGTTTGGTAACGAAACTGTACTTGCCTTTCCATCGAATCTGATCATTCTAGCAGTAGCTTTGTTGTTCTTTGTATTAGTACAAACCCATCCTTAAAGGTGCAAAACAAAATGTTTGGTCAGAAACTGTTCACAAATTAATAAAATGTCTAAAATATGAGTTAAACATTCTAAACATTGTTTTGTAGGAGTTGACCGGTTCTATGACGGCATTGAGGTGATGTTGGGGTCACGCATCAACCCGTACCTAAAGATCTGTTGGAAATACACTACACCTATTGTTTCTATGGTAACATACTGGTAGCGTAAAAAGCGTAATTTGGTAAAAACAACTTGATCTAAGTATTTATTTACGCGTTAGAGGTACACAAGTTTTATACAGGGATAACCTAATGAAATGTTGCTGATGACTTTGACGCTTTCCAAGTGAATCACAACAAACTCCTCTTGCTCTGTTAAGTCCATTGTGTTCGTCTTGCGCTGTTATTAGATAATATATAACCAATAGTAACCTACTGCAAAATGTTGATATCGTTCAGTGTACTTTATTCCGCGAAATATGCCTGCAGAATTTATTATCGAATACATGAATTCGCTTTTTACAGAATGATTTTTCAGTGTATAATTAACACGGAAATAATCTCGGTATATACATGCAAAGGGAGTCCCGTACATAGGGAACAAATTCGAAAGTGCTCTGGTGACATCTAAAAGAACGCATATCTTGTTTCAGGGTCTATTGGTGGCTCAGCTGATCATGTTTAAGCCTTTAACCTATAATAACACGTACCAGTATCCCACTTGGGCCCAGGCCTTTGGAGTAATGATGGCAGTGTCCTCTATGATGTGTATCCCTGTGTACGGCCTCGTTAAGCTGATGAGTACAGACGGGTCACTGAAGGAGGTAAACAATATATATAAATGGATAGATTAATATACAATGTTAGTGACTTGTTTATAAAACTACAAACTTTATTATAATGCATGTGTTTCATTTTGATATAGTGTCTGTGTTTAAATTGTACATGTCGATATTGCTTCTTTATTTCTACGGTAAACACTACAACCCAAACTTAATACTTAAAATAAATATATTTCATTTCTGTTCTCTCGAGGGATCCTCCAATTCATTAGAATTATCCTGACTTTAAACATACAAAGTGTCGATGGGTCATTAAACCTGGGCAAAATAAAAACAAACAAAAAATGTTGGTTTGTAAATAAACTGAATAAAATGTAGAAATGTTGTATCAGAACTCCGATGCCTGTGAATAATATGTTAACTTTTGTTAAACTTTCGATCGTCTTCATTGGATTCGCAAATCAATCGAGATCGAAAGATCACGTCATAAATCATAAAAGTAAAGTAACAACTGGATCAGATGAAAAGATTTCATCGCTTTGATACCGATTGTAAAAATAACGATTTTATTCTCTGCTGAAGATTCTGTTACCTGCTGAAGACTTAAACAAAATTGCACTTTTCGTTACAACGTTTGTTACGATGCTTGGAGTGGATGCACATCCCAAGTTTTCTTTGATAAATGATATATCGGCTATGGAGAAGGTGCACAAAGTAGGCCTCCCTTGGTGATTGTGTCCTAGCTATATGGAAAACACACAGATCTTCGTTGGTTGTGTCCCCGCTGTAGGGAAGGCACACAAAATACATCCACCGTTAGTATATAGCATTAAACCAATGTACAACAGCACATGATGACTTTCATCAAACTCAGGATAAATCTAATCACGCATATCCCAGTTTGAAAGAGTTTGTGTCTTTAACGAATGCATGCATGTTGTTTTTCTGCTTCCAATTTTTTCTTTTTATGTATCAATAATAAATGATAACAAAGTTCCACGTTGAATCTAGTATTACTCCAGGTCGGGAAATCCTCCGATCAGTTACTATCATGTTTACTTTTATGATGTTCCAGAGATTGAGAAAGGTGACCACACCAATACTACAGAAACACCAAATCCATCCCACCTGGAGGTACGACCACCAACTACGGCTTAAGTCATGATTGACAAGTAACATCTTAAGAAAGCGATCAAGTTTATAAAATTGTCCTATAGATATTGCAGTAGGAGGTATTTTTAGCAACGAGAACGAGATTTGCTTAGTACTTCACGTTGTGTTATGGAGGTGTTATATATTTATATATGGGGAAATTAAGCTGCGACGCCCGATCTCTCGTAGTCCTACGCTGTGGGTTGAAAACCTCGAAATTGTCTGTGTAATTAAGACTTGGATTTGTTTGCACGATGTTCAATCAATATCTTGATTATATTGTCAACTGATTACAAACATTACATAAACATAATTACCATAACGGGTTAGGCAAATCCCGTAACCACTTTTATTCGACCTTTTCAGTTCGCGTTTAAGGCCCTCAATTCTGTCAAAACCTTGAAAGTTCAACAAAACATCAATATCTGACTGTAATAAATGTTGATCATACACACATCTGGTTATTTTGTAAATACAGACGGCGTTTGTACAACTTAACAATAGTCTCGTTTGCCATGAAATCGTGATAATATGTGTTGTACTAATTAGTTTACATTATGTAACTATGTATAAAGACGAGTGTACATGTATGCATATGCTTTATCAAATACTTTGTTTTATTTTCACAACTAGTCAATGTTAGTTTACATTTTATTCTGAATTATTATGGGCGACTGAAGCCCAAACTAAACCAGACCATGTTTTATAATATTCCCTAAATAACAGACTAATACCAGCCCAGACTAAACCAGACCATTTTTCATAGTATTCCCTAGGTAAAAGTACGATATTAGCCCAGACTAAACCAGACCATGTTTTATAGTATCCCATAGGTAACAGACTAATACCAGCCCAGACTAAACCGGACCATTTTTCATAGTATTCCATAGGTAAAAGTATGATATTAGCCCAGACTAAATCAGACTATGTTTTATAGTATCCCATAGGTAAAAGTACGATATTAGCCCAGACAAAACCAGACCATGTTTTATAGTATCCCATAGGTAACAGACTAATACCAGCCCAGACTAAACCAGACGATGTTTTATAGTATCCTTAGGTAACAGACTGATATCAGCCCAGACTAAACCAGACCATGTTTTATAGTATCCCCTAGGTAACATTCTGATATCAGCACAGACTAAACCAGACCATGTTTTATAGTATCCCCTAGGTAACAGACTGATATCAGCCCAGACTAAACCAGACCATGTTTTATATCATCCCCTAGGTAACAGACTAATACCAGCCCAGACTAAACCAGACCATGTTTTATAGTATCACCTAGATAACAGACTGATATCAGCCCAGACTAAACCAGACCATGTTTTATAGTATCCCATAGGTAACAGACTGATACCAGCCCAGACTAAACCAGACCATGTTTTATAGTATCCCATAGGTAACAGACTAATACCAGCTCAGACTAAACCAGACCATGTTTTATAGTATCCCCTAGGTTACAGTCTGATATCAGCCCAGACTAAACCAGACCATGTTTTATAATAATCACTAGGTAACCGACTGATATCAGCATAGACAAACCAGACCATGTTTTATAGTATCCCCTAGATAACAGACTGATATCAGCCCAGACTAAACCAGACCATGTTTTATAATATCCTTGAAAAAGAGAAAAATAGTGCCTTACACATATAACAATTTTACTGTGTAGAGTGAAAAATGAGCGTACGGGCATTTAATGGGTAAGGCAGAACTATCAGCAATGGTCTTTTTTCATGCTGTTACCTCTTCCTCTCCACATGGTTTCGTTTATTTTTCAATTCATCACCACTTACCCAGACCACACCACACCAAACTTGGCTAGTCAAGCGGAAAAGTTGGGTTGACTTTATTTGTTAGTTAGTAGTTTGAGTGTGACCAATGTACATGGTATATTTTTTGTAACTATGTGAAAATGAAACGACAATATGAACATCAAATTAAAATGCAAATTTTCAAATAGACTAATACGTCTATGTATAATACAAAAAAAGTATCAAATACATTATCTTTATCAAACGAAGAATAACTTGACATGCGAATACATTACATACTTACATTGAATATATTACAATAAGTTACACAGTGACAAAGTGCAGTGTATTTTTAAACCAAACACTATATCTTGCAGAGAAGACAAAATAACTGAGCGTTTTTTGAAATTCTAACTCCCTCTCAAAACAATAGCAGTTGCCTTGAACCTTGCGCGCTAACATCCGGGCCAACAAGGGTGATTAATGTAAGTTGAAATAACTTGTTTCATGAATGTTGTAAAATAAATAAGGTATATATTTTACCATGTCTAATAACGTAACGTTATCGGGAGTGCCACCTCGGTGATTCACGGTGGTGCGTGTCTAGCTGTGTAGCGAACTCATGGATGTACGGAACGATAAAGATGTGTATGATTTTCTCTCATCTTCTGATATACCTGGCATATGAATGATACATATTTGATGTAACAGAAGCGATTTAAAAGGCTGCTAAGTACATTATGACTTCACAAATGTGGTGTCATGTCAGTGATTTAGTACGGTCGATCTATATCGCGCCAGAAACCTAATTTTAGAATCCTCTGCAGCTATCAAAACAAAGAGGCAGAGATGAGAAGCAAATCTGGTACCTGGAGTTTCAATTATGCCACAACAAAACAAAATAGTCTTTTTTTTACGTATTTATTGATATGTGATAATTGTGATATTGTATGGCTGATATCCCCTTAGCACTCCATTGTGTTTTATTGACTTTTTTTATGTGATGTAAGTTAATGACACGTAGCTCTTCCCTACACAACGTTTAGCGTTCAAAGATTAACTTTCTTCTTCCTAATGTCTCCCTTGACAATGCCTCACTTTTGGCCTGTAGTTGAGGGCAATCCCCTGTGAGGAAGGCTTTGGGTTCTGTCCCCTGGCCGAGACATACCAGAGTCTGTAAAATGGTAGTTTCTACTCCTGCTTGACGCTCAGTAATTTAGGAGTGGGACGACAGGTTCGCTCGTTGTCAGTATAATGTGACCGGGTAGGGTATTCTGCTGGGTGTTTTCGGCAGTATGTTTTAGTGAGGTAGCACTTTAAAGTCGTCATCAGCTCCGCGCTATCACAAGGAGACAAACACGAACATATCGCAGCCTCCCAAAACACACACGCATACACTACACGCATGCATCTTGCACACAGGGGAGGCCGTCCTTAAATGACCATAGCTGTTGATAGGACGTTAAACAATACTAAACCAAACCACTCACATCTTCACTTGTCCAGGTGACGCAGAGTTACGTCGCAGAATTAGTCGATATTTCAGAGAACGGCGGTTGATCAACTTCTCTATTTGTTTTTATACGATAGAATAAAAAAGACCATGTCGATAGATCAATGTTCAACAAAAACAAGAGAATATTAAAGTGTATACAAAAACATAGTTGCGATTTATCCAGGGCAGCATATCAACACAGAGAAAAGACCATTGGAGATCCGGAAGGATCACCGTCTTCGTCTTCTTCATCGACGACATTCGAGATGTAAGTCTAGGTCTAATTCAAGTAATGACACTTCCTAGAGAAAAGTGAGATTGGACAACGAATCAACAAGGCATATATTATTGAGCACATTCACAACATCGACTTCCACATCAGAAATAGAAAATGGCGACCGTAAAACGTGCCCGAACACTTCACCAACCTGTATCATTCTGAGTCTCAAAACACTGTGTTGTTTGTTTCATCTTCTTCTTTACCAAATATACTTCAAAACAGCTTACAACTATATGTTTATATAGCCGTTTGTCTTTCTTGGAATGTAAAGCTCTTGGAATCGAAGGCGTTCTTTCGGTATGGTGTGTGGTATGCTAGTTTATATAGAGTCGAAAAGTCAAAAATCTAAAGTTCTAATTGGAGAAATATATTCTGCAGAGATGATGGTCTCCAAAATCTCACTTATAGTGTCACAATATGACTAACACTTACTGATGGTACTTGAAATAGTATAACCACGGACTTAGATCATCTAATTCCGTGGTATAACATTGTGTAACTGATTCGGGTAATAGCTTAGTTGGGCAATAAGTAGAGCCAGCGATAAAACGTTGCTTATTGGGTTTTTTTTGTTTCGTATCATTATTTTTCATGATTCGGAGAAACTAATATCCTTTGAATACATATGAAAACTTAGAGGTAGCGTTTCAATGGTGACCAAGCTAAGTTTTGCTTGATTTGCAAACAAGCATGCAGCTGTCTGCTGACACAATCACATACCTGGTAGAGGTAGAAGGATCAAATCTAGACTAGACATTTTTATGTAATTTCAATACGATATTTTGGAAAACGTTTCGATTTTATTTGTTAAAGCAAGATGTATTATGGAATATGTTCATACAACTTTATTGAGAAAGGACCGAGTTCAACTTGTGCAAATTTTGCTTGCAATACAAAATATATTGGTCAAGAAACTTAAAATCATATATAACGTTAAGTGAAATGTTTTGAGGGGAACATCTTGCACACTTTAAAAGACAGAACTACAGCTGAATTCAAATGATTTAACATTATAAGGGAGACAACCATGTCGTATTTGTGATCTTCAAGCTTAACATGGTTGTCTCTCTTGAAGTTTGTACTTAACTGTCGAGTATTATTTCCTATAGTAATTCAAAAAACCGCTATCGGTTGTAGGGTTTTTACACACACGTGTCTCCATTCAGACCCTTGTTGTTTACACCTGTCTCTATACAGACCTTTGTGGTTTACACGTGTCTCCATACGAACCCTTGTGGTTTACACCTGTCTTTATACAGACCCTTGTGGTTTACACCTGTCTCTATACAGACCCTTGTGGTTTACAAGTGTCTCCATACAGACCCTTGTGGTTTACACCTGTCTCTATACAGACCCTTGTGGTTTACACGTGTCTCTTTACAGACCCTTGTAGTTTACACGTGTCTCCATACAAACCCTTGTGGTTTACACCTGTCTCTATACAGACCCTTGTGTTTTACACGTGTCTCTTTACAGACCCTTGTAGTTTACACGTGTCTCAATACAAACCCTTGTGGTTTACACCTGTCTCTATACAGACCCTTGTGGTTTACACGTGTCTCCATACAAACCCTTGTGGTTTACACGTGTCTCCATACACACCCTTGTGGTTTACACGTGTCTCTTTACATACCCTTGTAGTTTACACGTGTCTCCATACAAACCCTTGTGGTTTACACCTGTCTCTATACAGAGCCTTGTGGTTTACACGTGTCTCTATACAGATCCTTGTGGTTTACACGTGTCTCTATACAAACCCTTGTGGTTTACACGTGTCTCCATACAGACCCTTGTGGTTTACACGTGTCTCCATACAAACCCTTGTGGTTTACAGGTGTCTCTATACAGAGCCTTGTGGTTTACACGTGTCTCTATACAAACCCTTGTGGTTTACACGTGTCTCCATACAGACCCTTGTGGTTTACACGTGTCTCCATACAAACCCTTGTGGTTTGAATAGAGACACGTGTAAACCTCAAGGGTTTGTATGGAGACAAGTGTAATCCACAAGGGTCTGTATAGAGACCCGTGTAAACCACAAGGGTCTCCATACA